GACGTGTGCTCTTCCGATCTCTTTGTCTATATATTTGTACCAGTTTACTTTTATGACTTTTTTAAATATAAAAGCACACTAATAGGTTCAGGGCACATTAATAGGGACAGTTACCCTATATAGAAATAAATATAATTTAATTCTCCGCCTCAAAACAAAAAAATAGTTTTCGACATTTTATAAATGTATTTTCTATCAATTGCAAGTGTTATTTTATTAAATAATATTTCTATTTGATTTACATTTTATATTTTGCAAGAACTTTTGTGTATTTTTTCGCATTTGATGTCGCAATCTAAAATAGTAGTGATGAGCAAACAGGAGTTTTAAAAACCAATAATAAGATATATATTCTTTCACTTTAGTAATAAACAATAAAAACATAAAATTCAATAATTACATGTATATATATTCTTGCTACATATATATAATTTATTAGGATTACAAAGTAAAAAACAGAAATTTAAAAATTTATTACTATACGCTTATTGTAAAAAAAATACTTAAATATAAATTCGATGCAAATCGCATATATCACTAACAAATATAATGTGTTAAATAAACTGCATGCAATTTACTCTTTCTTTAAATAAAAATAAAAAAATCAAAATACAATTATTGATTATACAATATCTAAAATAAATAATCATCACAAAATTAAATAACAAATTTCTCAAATTACAAAAAATAAATATTCTCATATTATTTAATAAGATGTTTTTTTTTACTTATTGTAGCGTAATAAATTAGAATATTTTACATTGCATAATAATGATATAACACATAATAATATGCAATATTATATATCATTTTGTGTGTGTCTGTTTGTGCGTGTGTAAATAGGATGATGACAAAAAGTGTTACATAGAATGCAAAAGATTTATTATAATACAAATATAAATAAAAGAAGCACCAAATATTAAAGTTAAATTTTGTATTCTTCTAATAACTTAGCTTCTAATAACTTTTTTAAATAAATTTCAAGTACAAATCACTATTTATCACATATTTCTAAATAAATTTTAAGTATGTGTCACTATTACGATCTAATTTACCTTATTATTGTTTAACGTAATTATGTAAAAAAATTTTCCTTTAATTTATTACCTTTAAGAACTTTGAAGAAAACATCTTGTAACATTTTACGGAATATACACTGTATATGCTACACCCACACAGAAAAATATGATATAATATAAAATTGCTTGTTAATTTTATATTGCAAAATGTTCGGTATTCTTTAAGATTATGTTGTTATATGTTTGTACTAAATTAGAATAGTAAATGCAAACGTCTATAAAAGTATCAATTGTCTTTTAACACCTTACATTTTTACTATAACATATTCACATATAACAAAAAACATGCGATGCAAAAATAACATCTTATTTTACAAATCTTTTCGTACTAGAATAATCATACTGATTTTAAATATATATCTTTAAATATATATCTTTAATTATGTGATAAAAAATTATATCCTTATGATTTATAAAAAACTGTAAATAATATATAAAATATATGTAAGATCCAACATGTCATTTGTTCTTTATGAAAAATATAAAAATGTATAAGTGCTCGAAAATACATAATTCCAAAACATGTTTTTAAAACATGTTCAACAAAAATGTTAATCTAGATTATACACCAATATTTGTGTGTTAATGCAATAAGATATGAATTTTTAGACACTTCATGACTGCTCTAAACATTATTAAGAGTACAGAAATAATATTTGAAGTTCCAAAAATGAAAACACTGAGAGCAAAAAGAGATATGCAAATCTATAGCTCCAAAAATGAAAACTCAAAAATCAGCAATGAATAAGGTCAATAAAACCCGCAAGATATTGATTATCCACATGTGAGCAACAAAATTCGACAACAAAATAAACATGCATGGTATAATGCAATTACCTTTCATTTAATCTTTACTTGATAGCCGCAAGCAATGGCAAATGGAAAGCTTCTATGGGACGAGACGAAACCAGACGAGACGAGACGAGACGAGTCGAGACGGAATGAGATGAAACAAGACGAGATGAGAGCCGAGACGGAGCAGAGCAGAACAGAATGGAATGGAATAAAACGGAACGGAACAGAGTGGGATAAGACGAGAGAAGGCGAGACGAGAGAAAACGAAAAAGATCTTTTGTAAAAAAATCAAGGTATGTTGATGCGCGTACGAGATCGCTTCGATGAGGCACCACGTTGCATGAGAATATTATATCACGAGATTGTCACAACAAAAAGACACTTAATGAACATGGCTGGTGACGAGCGACTACTCCGCTTCTCGCGCACAGCATCCCGATCGCGGGACGTTCAAGCGCGGAGCGTTTCAGGATAGCTGCAGACTCGTCAGGCACAAATCGCAAAAACACGCGGCACATAAATGCCGCTACGTAAAGGCACCGAGCGTAGTTTTTTTTATAAAATACGTATCAAACCGAAGAAAAATACGCTACTAACAAATGGCAGCCATATTGGTACAAGCAACGTACAGACCATTAACGTAGCATGATATAGTAGGGTGAACTTATTGATTTTCTGAAACAAACTCCAATAGTCATGCGCGAAATAAGCCCGATCTACAAATGGATGCTTTCCATTTATAGCGTTTTTGATTTGTTGACTCAATCCGACTCCGAGTCGATGGTCTGTTCTTTTTAGCTATAAAAAAATAGTTAAAGTGTATAAAAACCGCTAAAAAGAACAGACTATTTTGACTCGATCCGATTCCGAGTCAAAATAGTTTGTTCTTTTTAGCGTTTCTTGCACATTTTAACTATTTTTTTTATAGCTAAAAAGAACAGACCGTCGACTCGGAGTCGGATCAAGTCAACAAATCGAAAACGCTATAAGTCGATATAAACCGCACTAGAGTCCTAGATTATCAGAGAAG